TCCATTTCCTTCACTGTTCCCTGCAGTGCTGTAAGTTTTCCCGTAAATTCATTACAGGTAGCGTGTAATAAATTGACCAATCAGAAACGTTTTTATTGTTTCAATCATAAACCAATCAGAGCAGACTTTCTGGCCCAGTTTCCCAGAGCTCTTCTCGCTGTCCGTCATGCACAAAAGAGAAGAGCTCTGGGGTCGAGAATGAGCAAAGATTTTTCAAAGATGTCCAATTATGGCCGCAGATGTAGTGGAAAGGAGAATCACTACTTCGGGCTAGTGTGTACTGCATCTTCACAGACTAGCAAGCTTTCTCCAGAAGGAAAGGGTCCACAGAGGTCTATGTGCACCTCTTGCCATGGTTTGGCAGGTATCTCTGTTGGTCGAAGTGGCTTTGCTGTAGGCTTGTCTGCAACAGACTGGCAGGATAGGCAAGCCTTGACCATTGTTTCCACTTGGTTCACAATACCTGGCCACCATACTTTTTCTCTGACCATTTGTTTGGTCCGCACGATCCCTTGGTGCCCCTCGTGTGCATTAGAAAGGGTTGCCTGCCAAAGAGCACTCGGCATGACATTCCAAGAACCTTGCAGAATGACTCCATAGCTCACACACAGTTCATCTTTAACCCGCGTATAGGGTTTGAGTTCTGGCGTGTCTGGCCACTTAGCACCATTCAAACAGCATTTCACTTGTTGCGGGATCGAATCTCCCTGAGTTGCACTGGCAATTTCTTCAAGGGTGAGTGCTTTTGGAACAGCATGTATTGTGATGCAATTAATGTATTCCTCGGCAGTGTTCCATTCACGAAACAGCTGGTTGTCCAGTGGCAATCGTGAGATTACATCAGCTGGGTTTGTCTTTCCCGCCATGTGAATGATGTTGAACCGGTATGGCTGCAAGCGAAGTGCCCATCATTCAATCCGAGGTGGAGGCTTGGACTTGGGGCTATAAATAATCTCCAGGGGCTTGTGATCAGTGTACAGAGTGAACGGTTTGCCGTACAAGTAGATGTGAAACCACTCACATGCCCACACAACTGCTAGAGCTTCCTTCTCAGTCTGCAAATACCTTCGCTCAACATCCGTCAGTGTGGGACTAGCATAGGCTACAGGACGAACAGTGCCATTGCTGCATTGGAGTAAAATTGCACCTAGCCCCACTGGGCTAGCATCCACTTTCAGCTCTGTGGCTGCTGCTTGATCATAATGTGCAACAACACAGTCACTGCTGAGAGCATCTTGAAGCTGATCAAAGGCATCCTTCTGGATCTTGCTGCACACCCACTCTGTGGGTGTGCCACTCTGGGTGTGATTACCCTCTGCTCTGCAAGGGTTTCAAAATTCGGAATGAAGTGCGCACAGTAATTGACCAGCCCAACAAAACTTCGCACCTCTGCTGCATTTTGTGGTGGTCTTGCATTCTTCACTGCCTCGTCTTTGTTTACATCTGGTGCTAAGCCATTGGCAGAAATCTGGAATCCAAAGAAGACCAATTCTGGTACGCTGAAAATAGACTTTTCCCAGTTAAGTGTAAGTCCCTTACTCTTAAGGCGTGAGAGTGTCAGATCCAAACTCTTGTCGTGACTCTTCTAATCAGAKCCATACACAATGATATCATCGGAAATGTTCYGTGCTACGGGGATTCCTTAAAAGGTTTACTGGATCACATACTGGTACATTTCCGGTGCAGACGACAGGCCAAAGATTAAGCGTTTGTAGCCCTTAAGTCCATTGTGCGTTGAAAATGTCATAAGCACTCTCGATTCGAGGTGCAGTTCAACTTGGTGGTATCCCCATCATAAATCGAGTTTTAAGAACACAGCAGCTCCATCGAGTGGAGCCAATGTTTCTTCAAGGGTTGGTATCAGATGACATTCTCTAATGACAGCTTTGTTTGCACGACGTATATCCACACAAACTCGCACATCGCCATTGGACTTTGGAATGGCCGCTAAAGGTGAAACCCATGGCGTTGGGCCCTCGACATCTTCAATAATATCGAGATCTTGTAACTCCTTTAGCTTTTTGTCCACATCTTTGTGAACATGAAATGGCACCCGACGCTGTGGTTGCGTAACCGGGGTGATCTCTGGGTCAACATGGATCTTTAACTGATAATCTCTCAGTTTGCCGACACTGCAAAATACTGCATCATGTTTGTCTACAATCGGTTGGGTAGAGCCCACTGTTATCTGGTTAATAGTGCTCGGGAGTTCATGTCCAACTCATAGCAAACCAAGCTCTTGCTGTTTTCTTGCCCAGAAGAGATCCCATGTTGAAATTCTCCACCATCACAAAGTCAGCACGTGTCTG